AGAAGTTATATATCCACTTCACGACGAATATTGTTATTTTCTTTATAATTTTCATTGCTAACCTTGAAAGGTTATTCTCTATCTTGTGCTATGTATTGATTTCATATGCACACCAGTTTCAAGAAGGACCAGCTGAGGGTTCAACTGACCAGAACAAGAATTCTGAAGATCAGTGGACAAAGGTCGACTTCGCAGAACAAATGGCAAAGGTTTCAGAAGGATTTTCCTGTTGCAGAAAATTAACAAAAGAAAAATCAGTGCAAAGTTTGAAAATGGCATTCTTCACGTTAAACAACCAACACTGATAACTTAAGCAGTGTAAAAGGATAAAGATTTGCCAGCTAAAGAAGAGCAAAAGAACATTAGTCCTAAAGCCAGTGAGCAAACAGAAGCTAAAAATCTTGCAGAAAAACCACGAGCAGATAAAAGTAGTTCTTACAGTGAATCTGAAAGTGAATTGTTAGATGATGAGACGGATGATGAAACAACCTCAATTTCTAGTCGTTTGGCTGCAAACCTGAAAGAACCCAAGGAAAATAATGAAAATGACTATTGTTTCTCTGTTGGTTCGTATACGGGGTTCTATGTCGCCAACGTGATGAGGTCTACGAATGAAGCTGAAGAAAAATGAAACTAGTCTTTCTGTAGCTCAAATTTAGTTGTGGGTAACTTGCATCTATGGTTGTGAATAGAATAACAATTCAGTTCTAAAATTTTAATCAATCAAATTTGTTATGAATCTAAAAAAACCATCATTTAAATAAATCACAAGTGCTAATGAGATGAAATGGTCGGTATCACATGCTCACTGAAGGGGAGAGCAAATGACCAAATCCAAGTCCTAAGAGCTCAATTAACTCGACAGATAAAGCAGAAAATATTATTACTACAAAAGGGAAATGGGATCAGAAGCAGAATATCTGCATCTGAGGCCTCTAACCATCAAGCAGCAGTTAAACTTATTTAAGAAATTGTCATTCTGTTAGACCTTAATGAAAATGCAACATAAACAAGAAAAATACACAGGCATGCCATTTCATCAACTGAAATATGAAAAATTTGTCATCTCCAAGACATCTAAGACATGTCCTGTGATTAAGAGGAAGAACCGCTACAGCTCAGTGAATTAAAATTTAAAAGCCAGAGCATCATCTTGTATTCGCCAAGACATAGATTAGTAAGAACATAAAAACAATTTCACGGTTGAGCAACTACTTAACAGATTATCTACGGATGATCATTGTCTATTGGACTGCTAATCCAAAATTGTACGCGAGCACATTATGAAATGAATGTCTCCGGTACAAGTGTAGCAAGATTAACCTGAAAAGTTAAATCTGCTCTATAATAGCATGTAAAAAGTTGTCTTTTGAAAGGCAACTGTTACCAGTGTCATTAGTGCTAGGTGTGCAACAGCCTCTTCTGCTTCCTCTGCTGTCTTATATGCTCCAGGACTTTTAAGCAACTCACCAGCAACTGTCACTGTCGCCTCGAATGAAGATCATGATATGGGCTAATCCTTTTACTATGGTAACACAGGTACACTAAGGTTCTTTCGTTTTGCGAACATCTGCAGCTTCCTCTTGGACTATAGTTAGAAACTTCTGTAAGCAATCTAATTTAGATTCAAAAAAGAAGCAGAATTAAACAGCATAGAGGATAAAGTTGCAGATGCTCTGCCAAAAAATAAATTACTATTAATAAATAGAGTTGAAGAAGGTACTCCATACACTACGTGGGATAAATATTCACTTTTTTACTGAAAAGAACTAGGTAAAATGCAACCTTTTGGATTCAGCTGTAAAGCAGCAAGCGGAAATCTCATTTTTCTCAATGTACTTAAACTCGTTTACTTGGAAGACACAAAAGTATTAGTAAAGCCTTTTTAGACACAAAAAAAGACACTACCGAGAGTATGAAACAAAACAAGGTTAACAATTGATAAAGCAGTACTAGTGTCCACCAAATATTGAAGTGCTTGTTGTTTGAAGCAATGTTCTACAACAGAAAAAAAAAAAATTCTTCTAAATGAAGGATGCTTAGATGAATAAGCAGAAAAAGCAAAGGTAATGACACCAAAATCTCAAAAAGATTTCGAGTTTATTTTTTATCAAAGAAACAGAACATCTTAAGCTTTTCACCTTTGCTTGATCTTAGAAGAAGTTGAAAATTTCAACTTCCAAGTCCGAGGAAATAGTTGAATGATCACTGGTACAAAAGAACTTGCCTGAAATTGTAAGAATTGTCAATTTACGGCACAAAAGTAATTTTTTGATAGTCTTCCAGCTGCACGAAATTTCCATTCATGTTAATCTCAAGAGAAAGAACAACTGTTAGCCTGAAAAGTTGCTTTAACATCAATTTGGATCAAGAGTAAAGAAGGCAGAAGAAGACTTCTCCTTCAATTTCTACAACTTGAGAAGAATGTTAGATTCAGACAAGCAAAGTTCTTAATGTTGTGCCAGTTATTGCAAGAAATTCTTGTAACTGCTGGTATTACTCTGGGCCAAAACGAACAAAGAGAACCAAAAAAATGTCACTTACTGGGAGTATAAAATCCATAAGAGTGGTGCAAGAATGGCATCGTCGACTGTCAATTACCGTGCCAATTTGCAAAATGAAAACTGGCAAAACTACATATTCGATTCATTTTAACTGTCTTTTAAGGTTTTTGCACATCCCCCTTAAGGATGAATTATTGATACTCTGATAAGGATGAATATGGAAAGAGAAGTAAATGCTTCTTCCTTTTTTTCTGAAACTTCAAATATTAGGAACAAATTCAGTTTGAATCACAAGATATACTGTCCTGGTTTCTGGAAGCTTCATAGATGAAGCATAAAATACAAATAGCAGTAATAGCAGCAGAAAGCTCTTGCAAACTGTCACAAACCCTTCCAGAGAGTACTAAATATTAGAATAAAAAATAAATTCCTCCAGAAACTACTGGTTATCTTTTTGTTAACAGGCCATCCACCCAATTCAAGCTACGAATATCCCTAACATAACAGACAATTCTTCGAATCAAGAAATGCACAGGGCAGATAGATAATAAAAATGGTTAACAAGGTAACCATTCGTATGAATAAAGGCATCCGATAATAAATACATTTCAAAAGATCCAAGTGGAGAACTTAGTTAACAACGGAGTTTACTTTTCGAAAAGCAACTATTGGCAGTGTCATAAATGAAAGCTGTGCAACAACAACTTCTGCTTCCTCTGCAGTCCTGTAAGCTATTCCTAGACTTATAATGTGTACACATAAAGAAACTTGCATCATCTCTCATATTAAGATTGCAATAAAGTATGATTTTCAAAATAAAGTAGAGTGGCACAACAATCAAATATCAAAACTGATGTACCTCCTCAATAAGTTGGCTTGGAAAGCTCAAGCAATGTTCTAATTTCCATTCTTTCATCTTCTGCAATTCCATTAGATGTTATTTCTTTTCCATAGGTAAGAGAAAAATGCATCATAGTGATAAGTATTGCTGAATAAATCAAATGAAATCCATATCACTTCTTATTTCCCGAGTGAAACTGTGGTATCATGTTAAGCAAAGAAGGATCCTTCGCCATAACATCTATTAGTAACTCTATTGTACTTGCATCGAATGAGAAGTCCCTTCCAGTCATTTCCTTCAAAAAAGTTGTCATTTCACTAGTTTCGCCAAACTTGAGAAATCCTCGCACAATAATATTGTAAGTGGCGTTGTCAGGCGAATGACCATTATGCTCCATTTTTCTAAGCATATCTTTAGCTTCATCTAACAACCCTTCTAGACAAAATCCATGTATTATCTTATTGTATGTTATCACATTGAGAAACAATCCAATTA